ACAATGTATGGAATGGCTATACTGAGATCTAAACTACAGTTTGCTCTATATCTGCTAGAAGGTGATACAGTATGTCAGCTTGTTTATGGTTAACTGCACTGCCTCTAGGTGGCACAAAAATGTATGCAAGACTTAGCAAATCTTCATTCCACCACACTTGAAATCCAGCTGCAAAATTTCTGGAAATAATACACACATAAACTAACCTGCAACACTGAGAACTTGCAGTCACTGCAGTTTTCGTTTCACAAGTGAAAAAATAAATCTCAGCAAAGCACTCTGGAATTAGTCTACCAGCAGTATGATATATGATTTTATTTATTTTAATAATAACAAAATGCATCTATAAAATCCATCAGAGCTGAACTTGAAAGTTTTTTGTTTTGTGATTTTTTTTCACCATTACTGCTGTTAAGTATCTCTGTGCATGTGCTATGTAACTGTGTCCACTTGGCCTTTCAGTGAATGAATACATGTCAGTGGATGTTTGTAATTAAATGTCAGTGAAAATCTACAGCTTTATTGGATTCTATTTAGCTGTAGCTTTGTTTTGTTTTGTTTTTAAATTGCAATCAGCTCTTTCATTTATTGAGATCTCATGCATTTGTCTTCACTGCAGCATCTCCAGTAGATTACTATGAGAGCTTCTGGCAGCTGTAACAAGAAAGTGCACACAATTACACAGATGGAGAGTAACCTTCAATAGATAAATTTAGTATGGATGAAGCTGATACTATGACTACTGCCCCGGAATTGTCAGAAGTGCTTTGAAAGGGCCCAGTATGACTCTATGTATGAAAGAGTGATGAGAAAAGAGCAATGTGTGACTTCTGAAGGAAACACCACTGTTGAATAATGTGGAGATAGAAAAACATACAATAACAACATGACAGTGAAGGAACCTGACAGTTTTAATGGTGGAAAAAGGAAGAGGTACATCTGTTATACTTCCCCACTAACCACAGTAATGATCGTCTCCATTCCCTCCGAAACATCCGCACAAGCTTCTTTCATGTCAAAGTTTGGAGGGCAGATCAGGCTCCGCCATCTGTCCCTCAGGCTTAATTTACTGCTGTCTTCTTTCCATGCTGACTGTTATGACACAGCAAGCTCTCAAGGTTGCTTTGCCCATATCGAGTTTCAGTGTGTCCGTCTCAGTACTAGCAACGCTGCTTCGCGCCGCCAATATGACTATGAAATGGAAATCGACTTTGCTGTGCTGTAAAACCAGAAGCACTTAACAAAGCTCTGAAGATATTATTCAGTGAATTACTGGGCACTGCATTGCTAAGCATTATTGCGCCCCAGCAATTACTTTGATTAGCCTGAGGTGACCTTGATGGA